CGAGTTTCCCAGAAGCTGGTTTGGGGGGGGGGGGGGCTAGAACAAGCACTGAGAGTAGAACCAGGGTGCCAGCTGACACTGATTCTAAAGACAAGAGCACAAAAACGTCCAAACAGAAGCAGGATTGGAACAGGAGAGGATTATTGGTAAATCTTTCCAAAGTTCAGAGCTGGCTTGCTCTGTAGGAACCCCGTATTTCCCAGCTTTCTGCTGTCTTGAGAGAAAAGCAACCGCAGCTGAGAGTCTAATATGGTAGAGCGATTCTATGGAGTGTAAAAATCTTGCTCAGATGCTAGGGCTGTGAAAAGTTTACCAGTAAGTATCCCCCTTAGCAGATGATGCTTACTGGTTCCAGTTAACCAGTGGGGGCTCTGCAGGGCCTGCAGCAGGCCCCCCTCCTACCACTCCCCCTTCAATTGGTTAATGGGTTGAACATGTTTAACTGGATAACCAGCGAGGTGGGATCTGACATCCCGAGCTAGGTGAGTGGTTGTGCTGCCTGCCAAGAGCGGACACTGGAGATGGTTCTTGCTATTCAGCTGCTGATGCAGTGGGGTGGGGGGTGTGACCGTTACAGCAGAACTCAAAGCACCCTCTGAAAGGCCACTGCAGTGGGGAGAGGCACCAGGGTAAATGAAAGGGAGCAAAGGCCCCAACAGCGACAACCGGCCAATCCCAGCCGTTGAACCTCGAGTAACATGGAGCCAGATTTGAACCTCTCCTGGGAGAGCTGGGCTCAGTCCCAGGCCTCAGGGCGGAGCACAGGCCAAGGAAAGGCAGCTGAGATCGCTCCCTAGCATGCTCGGTTACTGCTGCCTCATGGCCACCTGGCCTCAGCCAGCGACCTGTTTTCAGTTCCCATCTGCCAGCCCCTCAGTCTGCGAGTGGCAGCATCTCCCCACCTACTGCCCCCGGCTCGGGGGATGCCGCCCCTCAGCGTGCGTGAGCTGGAAAGGGGGGTGCAGCCACTGTGACTGCTTTGGAAACCAGAGCTACCCCCTGGCAAGCCCCCGCCTGCGAGAGGCCCCCCCGAGCAGCCCGAGTCACAGCGCTAAGTTCCACCTTCCACCCTTGGCCTGCAGGCTGCTCTAGCTCCTTGCCATGTGGACAGGCCACGAGATCGGTTAAAGCCTTTGCCACGCGGGGCGGGGCTTGGCCCTAGGGCTGCATGTAGGAGCTTTGGAAACCAGAGCTACCCCCTGGCAAGCCCCCGCCTGCGAGAGGCCCCCCCGAGCAGCCCGAGTCACAGCGCTAAGTTCCACCTTCCACCCTTGGCCTGCAGGCTGCTCTAGCTCCTTGCCATGTGGACAGGCCACGAGATCGGTTAAAGCCTTTGCCACGCGGGGCGGGGCTTGGCCCTAGGGCTGCATGTAGGAGCCCGTGGGCAACACATTTTTTGGGGGGGGAGGGAGGGACACTTTAGAAATTTCTGAAGTGGCCTTGGGTGGCCCTGGACGGGGCGGGGCCAACACTCTTCCATGCTTCCCCACCCACAGCCCCTGATTGGTCTGGGGCTGGAGGGGGCGCAAAGTCTGCTCTGGGCAGTGGGCGGTTCCCTCGGTACCCGTGCCCCTGGTGGTAGGAGGGGGTGCATGTTCCCCCAGCCAATCGGCCTGGGGCGGGAGAGCATGTGATGCGTCTTGCTCCGCGCCAGGGGGCGCCTCACGTAGTCAGGTGCTGAGCCCCTGGCCCCAAGCCCTGACTGGCCTGAGGGGTGGGGCAAAGTCTCCTTGGGCAGTGCTGAGAAGCTCTGTGCCCCTCGCAGGGCCCTCCCCAGGCCAATCAGGACTTGGGGGCAGGGGGGTGTGCAAAGTCTCCTTCCCCTCTGCCAGGGGCACTGTGCTTGCACTCCTGGAAGGGTGGGGCAGGGTGGAAGGGGATTTCACCTGCTTTTGCCCACAGGCCCTGACTGGCCCAGGGGTGGGGGAAGCGGCAGGGCCTCCCCGGGCCAGATCAACTCGCTTGGCGGGCTGGATCCGGCCCCCGGGGGGCCCCTTTGCCCACCCCTGCCCTGCACCCTGCTTAGTTCCTCCTTGGGGGTCTGGTGAGCAATAACACTACATGCCTGAAGCAACTGCATCCTGCCCCCGGCGGCCGGGCTGTCCCTGTGCCTGGGTGCTGGCTGTTAACCGCCTGCAGCCTTGCCAGCAGGGTCAAGGTGGTGAGAGCTAAGGCACTGCCCCAGACGCCCGGCTGTGCCGTTACTGCTGGCAGACGGATGCCTGCGGCCTCCTTGGGGGTCTGGTGAGCAATAACACTACATGCCTGAAGCAACTGCATCCTGCCCCCGGCGGCCGGGCTGTCCCTGTGCCTGGGTGCTGGCTGTTAACCGCCTGCAGCCTTGCCAGCAGGGTCAAGGTGGTGAGAGCTAAGGCACTGCCCCAGACGCCCGGCTGTGCCGTTACTGCTGGCAGACGGATGCCTGCGGCCGGGTGGCCCTTTGTCTCCACCCTCGCGAATCCCTGCAGCGGTGCTGGCCCTGCCTGCGCCAACGGACCCCCTCCCACGGCTGCGTTGGGGAGAAGCCTCGGGAGGCGCCAGCACCGGTCTCCA